GAGGCGTAAGGGGGGGCAGTAGGCTTCCTGGGCGCACAGGAGCTGGAATGGAGCGGTTCTGGTCTCCCTAGAGAAAATGGGGGGGTGGCGATGGGGGCCTCCCTGGTTGAGAGCATAATTACGGGAGATACGGTTGAAAGTTTCAGGGGGATCTCTGTCTTTGACTCGAGCGATTTCAGCATCAAGCCCTCAAGTCCTAGCGCAGCCAAGGCTTCCAGCTTCCCAGGCTCGCGGGTCTAACTCAGCTTTTCTTTTTCCCTCCGCTCAAGACGCGACGGTGTACGTTGGGGGGTTGGATGAGAAGGTCAGCGAGCCGCTGCTGTGGGAGCTCTTTCTCCAGGCGGGACCGGTGGTCAATACCCACATGCCCAAGGATCGAGTCACAGGCCAGCACCAAGGTGAGACATTTACTGTTCTCTCTCAAAAGCTTCACGTTGAATAAAATGCTTCAGCTGGGGACAGTCAGAGAGAGATTACCGCGGGAAGAGAGGTGAGGGATGAATAATCCCCAGGAAAGATCGTCTTCCTTCCCCTAAGGGGAGCTTTGGGCTCTCTGGTTTTAAATCAGGCGGGGTTGGACGAGCTGCGGGAGGCCGTGGGTCTGCCCTCTCCTAAAGCTCTGTTTGGGGACTTGTTGCAGGCTATGGGTTTGTGGAGTTCCTCAGCGAGGAGGACGCGGATTATGCCATTAAGATCATGAACATGATCAAGTTGTATGGGAAACCGATCCGAGTGAACAAAGCCTCGGCCCACAACAAAAACCTGGACGTGGGGGCCAACATCTTCATCGGCAACCTGGACCCCGAAATCGATGAGAAGCTGTTGTACGACACCTTCAGCGCTTTCGGGGTCATCCTGCAGACGCCCAAGATCATGCGAGACCCCGACACGGGCAACTCGAAGGGCTACGCCTTCATCAACTTCGCCAGCTTTGATGCCTCGGACGCTGCCATCGAGGCCATGAACGGACAGTACCTCTGCAACAGGCCCATCACCGTTTCCTACGCCTTCAAAAAAGATTCCAAAGGCGAGCGGCACGGCTCGGCCGCCGAGCGTCTCCTGGCAGCCCAGAACCCGCTCTCGCAGGCGGATCGGCCCCATCAGCTGTTCGCCGACGCTCCTCCTCCTCCGTCTGTCCCGACTCCTGTTGTCACCTCCCTGGGACCCGGCGTCACCCCTCCGGGTGGGTAAATCCTGGCAGCACCCGTCTCCGTGCCGCTTTGCAGGAGGCTGTTGTGCCCGTCCACCGCCGGTCCTGGGGGGGGCTGCGGCTGCGTTCTGCCGTGCCTCCTGCGGAGCCGCTCCTTCTCGCGTGGGGAGGCTCAGGGCGGTGGCACTGCGCTGCGTGGGCGCTCTTTGGTGACAGTCGGCGCAAAACCCTCAGCGGAGCTGTAGGATCGCGAGCTGGCAGGACCTTAGGAAGTCCTCTTCCCTCCCCGTGGCAGCTCGACCTACGCTGTCCCAGGGCTGAGTGAAAGGATTCTGCTTCCGCCTGCTCGTTTTTTTTATTACGGTTCCTGAGGCTGTTCGTGCTTTCGCCTCCTTCCCGATTGCCTGGGCGGGGTTTTTTTTTTTTGTTTTTGGTTGGTTTGTTTTTTATGCTTAACCGAATTCTCACCGTCTCTTTTCCCAGGCCTCCCGCCCCCAGGCTCGTTCCCCC